ATTTCAATGAGCTTTATGAATCTTTGTTACAGTGCGCTTTATAAACCTTTAATTCAATGATTTTCCTTAATCTTTAATTCAATGTGCTTTATGAATCTTTATTTCAATGTGCTTTATGAATCTTTAATGCAATGTGCTTTATCAATCTTTAATTCAATGTGCTTTATAAACATTTAATTCAATGCGCTTTATAAACGTTTAACTCAATGTACTTTATAAACCTTTAATTCAATGTACTTTATGAATCTTTAATTCAATGTGCTTTACGGATCTATATAACAGTTACTTCAGATCTCACGTCATGCAAATAAATTAGACCAAGTGAATTGAAAAAACTATTGGTATATTGTATGGATACTGTCGACAAAACTCGTTGTAATTATGACAAATTTGCATCTCTTGACAAAGACAATATGTGGATAGAATTGATATATGTCAAAAATAACAATTTATCATATAATAAACCAAATAAAGTAATATGTATGAGATGCATGACCTTATTGTGTGTATGTTCATTTTTATATTAAATGTGTATATAAAATGTTGGATATGCTCATAACTAATTGTTATAATTATTTCGTTTGTGATTTTTATGACAATGTTTTATAACAATTAAAGAATCTAGTAGTCTTATCGGAATATTTGTGTGATATTTCCGTAATGCCATAGATACACATATACCTATTCAAATGAATTGAAATATGAAGAGCCGTTTATTAATCAAATTGAATCTGAATATTGATAACTGTTGTTAATTTGATATTCCCTATAGCTCTGTTTCAACTGTTTGGTTTGTATGATTGCTTGTAAAATGTTAAACATTGCTTATCTAAGACCTGTTTCAAGTCAGATAAATTCTTTTTGATCGATATCATTTTCAACGCATGGCAGAGAGAAAGGTACACTATTAACAATTTAAAAGCAAAGCAAAATATTTCCTTTAAGTTTATCTTGAAAGATATCTGAAAATATAGCTGTAAAACGATCATTTAGACAAACGTTTATTGACTTTATTATTAAAATGAGAGAAACATTACTGTTGTAATATACATGTATTTCGGATTTTAACACAAATTAGTTGTCCACAGTACATGTATTGTTATTGATATTTCAAGAGTTAAACGAATGAAATGAAGGCGCGTAAAATTGTTTCTTTTTTTTTTAATTATTAGATGCAATTATAATACGCATACTCTTAAGCAGTCGGGAATTCTAATAATTCAAAATATTCTTCAAAGTGAGAGACGTGCATGCGCATGAAAAACTCACAATTATCCAAAGAAATGAATATATGTTTTCGTCTTTAGACACATGCTGAATAATGTTTTTACAATTATTTGGTTCTAGAGCAGTAAGATGTGTATTATACGAAAAATGTGGCGTTCAATATGAAATAATCTGAATTATTATCAGTTACTCTTTTCCACGCTTTGTGGCATTGAATGTTGTTAATTTTTCAGGAATTGTTTGTGTGTGTTTGTGATAAATTTAGTACTTCAATTTTAGGCTTAGGCATTATGTCTGTTACATAGTCTCCATTTACATGTTTTGTGCTATATTTGGAGACTTTATTATTGATCTGAGTCATATTTGAATTCACGAAACACATCATATTCAAGTAGATCATTTGATAAAAATAGAACAGAGTATTCAATATTAATAGCTTTATTTACAAGAATTAGATATTTCATCTTTCATCGACCTAAAAACATACTTTATTGCATACGAAGTTAAATGTTTTTGCTATGACGTGTAGTCAATTGTTAGCGCCTTCTCCTCAAGAAAAAGAGTTTAAATATATTAACCCTTTCATGTTAATGTCTATTCGTTATTCTGCAAGAATTGAGAAAGAAAATTAATAATTGGAACTCCCCCTATTGGTTACTATGCCGCCATGGGTATTAAAAACTACATATGAAGAAGTTGATCATCTAGCTGAATAGAGAGTCAGCGCTTGTACTCTCTGCTCGATCAAGGAAAGATGTATGGAGGGGCAACAAGGTCAACAAATAAAGCTGGAAAGTCGACACAATGTACAGTTTCGGTATATCTAAGAATTTTAATTAAATGAGTTTTATTGTGTGAAAAGAAATAAAATAAAATAGAATAGAATATAAAAAAGCGACGTTCACATAACGCTCTATACGTTTAAAATACTCTAAATAAAAGTGCATATTAATTGCTTTGAAGAGACTGCATAAACTATTTATTGATCTCGTTTGCAAAATATGAAATCTACTAAGTACTTACTTACTTTCATTGAAGTTATTTATTTATTATTTATTTATTAAAAGCAACTTGTGTGAGCATATCGTCGAGGATAGAAAAGTTTCTCAGCAACATATTAGGTTAAAACCAAGTTTTTGAGTTTCTTGTTGTCTTGTGAATTTTAATTATTTTGACTTCATTAAACAGAAGCAATGTACGAAAGGGCACATGAGGTCTTCCTGCACAAGTAAAGCTTGAAAGTTGCCATATGACCTAAATAAGTGGACAATTTATAAGCCTCTGTTTAAATCAATTTCAAGTCAGACCAATTACCAAATCATATTTAAATGTATGTGGAATTCAAGACTTGTAAATGACACATAATGTAGTCAATGAAACTTTGTATTAAACTTCTTTATAACTCTCTAAGGTAAATTGTAAAATCCCAAAGTTTTAACATCCATTTAGGAATATTGATATTAACTTTAAGTTTATTTGGTTCAAATATAAATTTGTGGTCCGACAATACATTGGAATTTTTAGACGTATAAAAACTTGCATTTAATATAAATGTAGTATGCATTAACTGTTATGTTGTGTTTTTTCCGCGTAAAGTTATACATTTAATATGTTTTACAGAAACTAAGATGTGAAAAGACATAAATTTATCCCAGGATCTGATGAAATTTAAAACAAAACACTTGAGTAAAGTAAATTATAAGCAGGAAATGTTAAGGAAAAAGCGACATACCACAATTTAAGACACGAAACGGTCTCTTGAATCAAATGGTACCAAATTCATTTTTTTCCAGTTATACAAACTGTTTTGGAAATTATAAAGTTATGCTATAATTAAACATTACATACGACAAAATGTTCAGAAAGCAAGCATTTGAAATATTCATTTCGTTATTGGTGTATTGTTTTTGAAATAATATTTGAAATAGTCCTTTACAAATGTATTGCAAAAACGCAATTTATTTTAAGTGAATGATTTACATCTAAATCTTTGCAAATGCAAGATGTTAAAACATTTACATAAAATCTTTTTTCCAAGCAAGTATTTAAAAACTAGAAATGTGTCCATAGGACACGGATGCCCCCACACGCCACTGTTCTGTCAATCTTAATACTTTAGGTCAAATATTTTTTTGGACTACATGTGCCACAAGTTGAAAACTAAAAATCAACAAAGGGCCATAATTCTGTTAAATTGATCGTAGCAAAAATTCCTTCCTTTACTACCATCTACACATTAAGGTTGTTCATCCCTGGAAGTTTAAGCAAAATCTGCCATCCGGTTTAAGAGGAGTTGCGTTCACAAAATTTCTGCATAGTATATAGTGAAAAAATCAACAAAGGGCCATAATTCTGTTAAATTTGGTCGCAGCAAAAATTCCTTCCTTTACTACCATCTACACATGAAGGTTGTTCATCCCTGGAAGTTTAAGCAAAATCTGCCATCCGGTTTAAGAGGAGTTGCGTTCACAAAATTTCTGCATAGTATATAGTGAAAAAATCAACAAAGGGCCAAAATTCTGTTAAATTTGGTCGCAGCAAAAATTCCTCCCTTTACTACCATCTACACATTAAGGTTGTTCATCCCTGGAAGTTTAAGCAAAATATGCCATCCGGTTTAAGAGGAGTTGCGTTCACAAAATTTCTACATAGTATATAGTGAAAAAATCAACAAAGGTCCATAATTCTGTTAAATTTGGTCGCAGCAATAATTCCTCCCTTTACTACCATCTACACATTAAGGTTGTTCATCCCTGGAAGTTTAAGCAAAATTTGCCATCCGGTTTAAGAGGAGTTGCGTTCACAAAATTTCTACATAGTATATAGTGAAAAAATCAACAAAGGGCCATAATTCTGTTAAATTTGGTCGCAGCAAAAATTCCTCCCTTTACTACCATCTACACATTAAGGTTTATCATCCCTGGAAGTTTAAGCAAAATCTGCCATCCGGTTTAAGAGGAGTTGCGTTCACAAGATTTCGGGACGTACGGACAGACGGACGGACGGACGGACAGACGTACGGACTGACGGACACTCGGACGGACAAGTGCAACGCTATATGCTCCCACTCTGTGGGGGCATAAAAATTCTGATATTCAAAACAAGTGTCTGGAAGTATAAATCCTTAACATAAACGTTGTGAACATTTCTTTGTGATGCAAATGGTGCTGTATGGATAAATTGATAAACTACAGCATAAATCTATTGCAGTACGTCGTGGGTCTAATTGAAAACTGCAGAATTTGCAGATATAAGTCTATTGCATAAGAGGCTTTAATGAAATATGTAAATACTGTAATATTACATATAATATATATATTTTAATATAATAAATAAAAAATGTAAACCTATTTTGTCACTATAAATAAATATATATTACACATTTTATGAAGTACTACTGTGTTATTAGAATAATGAATGTCAGCTTGTCGGTTGGTTTAAGCTATGACTTTAAAAGATCTTTCCTTCTCCAGTATTTTTACTCCAGGAACACATGTTGTTGTTAACGTGCTTTAGAAATATACATATCCTCGTAGCAGGAATATGTTATTTTGCATGTCATTTTCTTCATCTCTTCACATATGAATGTAAATGCATCATTTTCAAATGTTAACCATCGTGTTTTATACTCCGGTACAGTATACGGGCAGTACCTTGCTTTCCAACTTGTAAAACATTCATGATATAAAAAGGTACGTTCCTCTTCAATTGTAAATCTTATTAAAAGTTAAAATACAGTTCTGACGAATAAGCTATTAATATAATCATGAAGAAACTGAAACAAAAATATTCAAAACAATACTTTATTTATAACAATTTATTGAACACAATCAATAGGATGGAATAGATATATCGAAATTAGACTATGACACGTGACACAAGATAACAATAATAAATCACATTTATTTTATGGATTGTCAGTATGTTCAATGATTACCTAATCTTTATCTCATTTCTGTAAAATCAGAAATTATATATTTGTTAGAAGATGCACTTAAATTTGTTAGTATTGACACTGTAATATAAGATAAAAGCAGTGACGAAAACATATGAAAGTGCTAATAAATAAGCGTATAACAGACATATTAATTTGTACCATAACGAGTTTTTCAAATGAAAGCAAAGCAGATTCACATAACAGTGTTTCATCTAAACAATATTTCAAATCAATAGGCATCAGGAATATACCTCTTTGTTTTTTTTGGGTTTTTTATGAATGAATATTAGTAATCCGATGTAAAGTAAATTATTCGCTTAAGTGTTATTATCAGTTTTAAAACATGATAAACAAACAGATTATGAGCAACAAGGTGTCTCTGACAAATATCAAACACGTACGTTAAAACAATTTTAACAAAAGCATAAAATTACACATTTCATATTCATTTCATATTTAGAATCATAGACGCCAGGCGAAAACTCAAATATAGTACATCAGTTAAAATGCTGCGATTACCATCTTTGACAGAATTTATCAACAGGCAAACCCGATTGTAAGTGGATTTCTATTTAAAAATTGACATATATCCAAAAGTAAATATGTTTTTGTGAAAGTGTGTACATATCAATCTTATTATGTTTCAACTACTAAAGCGTAAGCACAACAATATAGGAAGAGGGAAAAATGGATGTACAATATAAATTCAAAATTATCATCACCATTTTAAACGTTAAATAAATAAAATTTAAGGTAATATACGCCTTAAAAATGGCAAAACATTCGAGATGTTTAATCGTGTCTCGTTTCGCAACATGCGAAAGAGCAAAGCAATATTGTCAATTCCTCGGTGAGGTATGGAAAGTAGCGAATGATGCCGAATATATGCCGAGTTATAAAATGATAATAAAGGATCACACATTACCGGACAACATTTCAGTTCCTTCTTCATCGTATAAACACGATCCATTATATGGCGTATTAGCCAATAAGCGCATTTCATTACCCTCATCAAGGCTGCTTAGCGAAGGACTTCGTCGAAATCTAGATCTAAGTTCATGTAAAGTACTATTTACAGGTCTGTAGGATGATTTTATTTCAGACTTTTCCTTTTTGACTCGAGGACTCACATCTTTTTTATCTGAGTCTACCGACATCGATAATGTATTCATGTTCTGCACAGATTGACACATTTCCTCGTCTGCATGCTGTGTAGGACTTGTAACCTTTGATTCACTTAATACTGTTTCAGTTTCTCTTTCGTCGGCATTATTCTTCAGTTCATGTACATCTTTTCTCATCTGCCACACATCATCTTGCGAAGGCGAATTTTCACTAACGTAAGTGGTGTCGGTACTGTTACTTAGAAATGTGTCAACACTTGTCCGTGTTCTTAAATGAGATTTATCCGGCAGTTTCCTCACACCAAACGCAACATAATCGCTTACACTACGAATATATGTAGGATGCGGAGGTTTTTGAACATCATTAGGATCATTTGGTTCCCAAGAGTCCAGCATGCTATCTTCTCCCGCCAACATAGGTTCTTTATTAGCAAATTCAGCTGCTCTATCAAGGTGGCTTCTTCTTTCTATAAATGGCTGGGCTTCTGAAGATGATCTACGATGGGATGGGTGAACTTTTGGAGTTCCGTTAACACATGATCTAGAGCTTTGATTACTTCCACTTAGATGCGTAAGCACTGATTCAGTGTGTCTGTGTATTCGATGCGACGTTGAGTCTTTATGACCACGTGAATGAGATAATCTAGATGTGACTGTACCACGATACATATTTGCTCTTTCAACGCAAATACCAAACTTTCCCAGCAAGATAAAAACGTCCTTTCTAAATTGTTTGGTAAGTATTGCGTAAAGGAATGGATTAGCACATGAATTTAATGGATAAAAAAATACAAGGAGAATTTTTGAATGTGTGATATCAATAAACGGCACCCCAGCGGATGCCGTGAGTCCAAAAAAAGCAATTGGTGCCCAACAAGCAAAATTTGTGATAACTAATATTGACATCCGTTTAGCTATTGTGGCGTCATTACTTCTACGTGTACTGGCACTGCCTTTCACTTTAAGGAACATACTTATATAACAGAAACAAATGGCAAGGAACATTATTCCGTTCATAATCAATAGTGAAACAATATATCCAATATCAACTCCACTCTGTGCCCTCATAGGAAGACAAATACTTACGTTACCGTAACTACTTATTCCTATGAGAGGTAACAGAGCCAATATTGAGGCAAATGTATACCCTAGAACCATCAGTGCAACCGATTGCCTGAGCTTTAACCTCTTGTTCAAATGGATAGCGTGGCTTATGGCATACCATCTCTCAAGTGTTAAAATGGTTAGTGTAAACACAGACAACTCGCTTGAAAACACTGACAAAAATCCGGCTGCTTGGCAACCACCTTCATTTTGCCATTTGACTGCGTGATTAAAATACTCGCCCAAAGTCCGAACGTCTATTGAAGCAAGAAGAATTAAATACACCCCCATTATGAAATCAGCAAATGCCAAATTACACATCAAGAATTTAGGAACGGTGAACTTTCCACGACTGGACGTAAGCACGATTAACACTACACTGTTGCCAAGTAAAGCTGCAAGAAGAACGAACCAAACCGTTACTCTCAGCCATTCATATCCCATAACATCTTCGCACGGATTAAATGCGTCCGGTTCCGGAGTGCATTCAACATTTCTGTTATATATATAAATTTCTCCACAATCTGCTCTCTGTGTAACATTTTCATTGACAGATACTGTAGACTTGTGAAAATTCTGATTATGCATATTGTGACCAGCATTCCAAAATATGTCAACCATTTGAGGAGATCCATGATTTGTATTATTAGGAATTTTTAAAGTTCCAAATCCATCATCACTGTGCCTTTTCTTACGTTTATTTCCAAATTTACCAAAGTGGTTGTTGGTAAAGGCATCATCCCTTGGCGACATCCATCCTAATTGAGAAATCTGAGTAGTGCTTGTTTTCTGTGTAGTAGAAAACGGGGTTGTTGAAATAGCGCATGCTTTATTAATAATTTCCTGTGCTTGTTTAGCCTTCCAAGCTGAAGGATCTTGCTTTTCTGGATTTTTAAAAGCGCAACAATGATGTGGATATGTAAGTTCTGCTCTCTCTATTTTTGTAAATTCAAGTACTGAAGGTAAATGTTTCATCGAAGGCGTGTTTTTAAGAATAAGATAACGCAATCCGCTAAGGCCCTTTGTTGGAAGGCTGGATATCTTTGTGTTTGATAAGTCGCTGCAAAAGTAAATAATGAAAATTGTTTTATTTCAAAAATCGTTCATAAAATATTTTCTGTTGTATCAAATTATGTTGAATGTATTTGTTTTAACAACAAACTAGCTTGAATAGCTAGCAAAAATGTTGAATAATTAGAGCAATTAAATTAACAAAATTAACTATACTTGTAAACCTGCTTGATCTGCTGCAAAAGAAATATTTGAATTTTGAAAAAAAAACTTCCAAAATACCTGTAAGAAAGAAATATGTTTGTATGTGTCCATTAGAAGAAATGACGCATTCATAAATCAATGTTTAACAGTTAACCCCTTTTTAAAATAGCAGCCTAATATTTTGTTCTGGATCATTTTATTCTATTTTATTTTATTAAACATACAATAGAAATTCTTTGTTAAATTGTTAATTTCGAGAATCGACCATAAAGACTATAAAATAAGTAATTTACTGTTTATTAGTTCATAAATCTTATAAAATATTTCATTGGATAAAACTTTTAAGCCTGTAACGTCGAACATTGTTTTTATTTATTTTTTTGTTTTTTTTGTTTTTTGCTTCCATTTTTTAAGAATTTTTTATATTTATTTAACATTGTACAGCAGACAATGACGATTCTCCCGTTTGTGTCTGACTTTATTAACATGCGTTTTTCCTGAATCAAATGTAAGTTTGTCTAAAATTTGAAAACAGAAACACGTGACTCTAGTGAATTGAAAAAAATAAATAAAAGAATATAAAGATTTAGTTAAGGTCACGTGATTCCAGGCCCCGTGTTCACAAAGATTTTAGGATCAGGATCAAGATCAGGATCAAATCTAAAAACTCAAATATTATCCATTGTTTATTCTTATAGATTAGATATTTAATATTAACTTGATAAAACTGGACTTGAAATAGCATGTTTTTGAAATTAAAGAATAAATTTATTGTAATTTTTGCAAGATCTGGGCATTTTACAGTTAATCCAAATATAGATCTTGATCCTAGAATTGATTCTTATTTTGATCCGATTATTTTTGTATTTGTTTCGTTATTTGTCTATTTTATCCCAAAACAGGATTGTTTCTTTGCAAATCAGCATAATTTTAAATTAACTTTATGTACCATTCAATTCTAGCAAAATACGATCAATATTAGTTATATAAAACAAAGAAAAATAAATCAGGATCACTTGATCCTGATCCTGATCTTTTCTTTGTGAACACGGGGCCAGATGTTAAAACTTACAGTTTATTAAGAAGTATAATGCCTTCAAATGCATTGTCATCGACATCTGTTAGTTGTGTGTTCATGTTGAGTGACCTATATATTTAGGAGTATATAAAAAGAACATTTGTTATTTCTTTGTGATACAATCTTTACAATTACTTCTTTCAAAACAGAGTTATGTTATTTACATTATATATCATCATCAGTAAGATATTTCATAACCTAAATATTAGTTCTGTTATAAATTTATCTTTAGCATTTATCAAATATAAACATTTACTTAGCATTAAACTTATTTTGGACTAAAGCTTTTATACTTACAGACTGACTATTGTTGCGTTTCTAAATGATTTTGCAGCTACACTAGAAATCTTATTCTCCTCTAGCTTTCTGAGAAAATAGGTAGATAAAGAATAACATATCGCTTTTATTAATGTGTTTGAATAGATTCAGCATATGATAATACAACAAAACTTAATTCTGATTATATTCTGATGCTAACTTAATTCACTTTCATCCTGTAATGATTTCGAGTGTGCGTATATTAAGGAAGAGAGCGTATGATTCTTTTATCCTGAAGCAACACTAAATGTACAAGACAAATACAAGAACTGTATCAAATTAATACATCATATCTAAGTTAAACTGGTAACTGTTAGCCACACTTGTAAACGACTCATGTTTGTATTATGACATGCCATGTTGTGGTTTTTGAGGGTTTTTATTTTTTAAATTTTTTACAGCATTTTTAGAGAATAAAATTAAATACTTATAAATAAATGATAAAATAAATGATAATAATGATAATAAAAAATAATAAATTATAAACGCTGTTTAAACGTTGTCAATAATATTCACTTTAATGAAACTGCAAGTTTGAAATGACTTTTCTTATCAAAACACTTAAAGATTTATATACTTATCTATAAGGTTGGTTATGTAAGAAGTAAACGTTTTTAAAGATGTGCTTCAATGTCTTTTTTAATTTTAAGTTTAAACAAATCATCAAAGTTTTAAATATATTGAGCTTTAGCCATAACCGGTATACTAAGCTTTGTTGAATACATTTATTTAAAAAAAAAAGTTTCTTCGTCAAATTATAGTTATATGGGGGGCGTCCATGGCCGAGTGGTTGAGGACGTTGACTTTAGACAACTTGCCGCTAACCACTGTATATTTTCATTATGCAAATTTAGCGCTAACAATATGAACAATATAAAGAAAGTGAGATAATTACCTCTTAAATAAATTTATTCTCATAAGTTGAATTTAAAATTGCACATAATTGTAAATAATGGACACAAAGTAATACTTACAACATATCAGTTTTGACACCTAGGAAGTCTTCTGTTTGTATCTTTTTTATTCGGTTATTGTGAAAATCACTGTAATAAAGATAAAATGACTCTTGTAAATATATATAATAACGAAAAATAAAAAGTTATTTTTCTAAATATATGTTGGTCGTTTTTTTATTCGCAGTATAGTACATATCTTAAAGTGATTTGGTCTATAATTGAATGTCTGTAATACAATGAATAATTACGTGGAAAGTATTTAGTATCAGACATAACAACAAGTGACGAAAGAACTTTAAATGGAATTTGTTGGCAAGTGTGAGATACATGATCCGATATTACTTATAATTGTATTAAAATGTTTGAGAACCAAATATTGTTATTCATCACATATATTTGTTTGTTCTAAGAACTATATCAACACTTCTAAACAAACAACTTAACATTTTATAAGAATATCCAAATGATACGTTTCTATTGTTTTATTTTATATTTGTCAGAATTATGGAAAATATGCCTATTGTAAACCTACCTACTTTAACTAATTAAAACATTTACAAAATATCTGATGTGACCAAAGTTTTTTTTCAGAACTTTGTATATTTGTTTCGACTAAATGTCTTTGTAATTTAAACTAATATAATTATATAACATAAATATTACCAAAGTTTATTTTCAGAGTACATAATACTTTTAAAAGCTTACTGTACTCATATACCATTTTCAACTGGTGCGGTAATATACACGAAATTATACGTGTATTGCATTAAAATGAACCCTCTTCCGACTTACGGAATTAAATTGTTGATGTTTATTTTGATATAAAAAGCTTTGTTTAATCTATATCTATTTGATTTTCTTCTTTTTTGCTGTTTGTTATAACAAAAAAGTAATCATGGCAGAATCAAGCAATTTCATACTGTAATATTGAGTTTAAAATTTGATTTCACTCACATTTCCCTCATGATCCCGTTCATGTCCGGATTTAATGTTTTGAATTGAGATAAATCTGGTACAGATTGTAGCCCGCTTCGATACACGTGCCTGAAATGAAAGTAAGAACTCTTTTTATGTGCTGACGAAGGAACCAGTTATATCACTATCAGGTATCATAATACTTGTTTTCATAGTTTAATGGAATTAAAAAATGCACGATTCTTTCTATGTTTATTTTACGCTAATTAAATATCTCGATTACAAGAAACAAATTTTCCTAATAAAGTGACAGTAAAAACACAGATTTTGCTGTCTTTGTTTTTCGAAATGGTATTTTAAGTTGTTAATGAAACAATTGTTTTCTGGATAAAAACATATGAATTGTATACACTATGGACTTATAAAATTCATATCCACCACATAACTTACAGTGTTTCAAGATTTTGGAACGTTTTTAGAACTCCAGCGCCAATGTGTGTGAGATAATTGCAGCCGATCATTCCCCTGTGTGCAAAATGGAAAGACAATGATATAATAAAAACATAAACGACAAATACCATGGAAGGACACAATGTTTAGACAGGCTCTTAAATGTATTTTCTATATGAACAAATCTGACAAAATGCATAGTTTCAAACTATTCATCCTACCTTTTTGAACATTGGAAACTTTCTCTTTTATTTTTAAATTTATTTTGGTAAATCGTATAGGCTTTTTCTGTTTAAAAAAAATCAATTGCAATATTGTCCCCGATGTGAACATAAATTACGATCATCAAGTGATATTACTTACAATGTTTCCAGCTTTACCAAACCGTCAAACGCCCCTGGTTCAAGAGTTTCCAACTTGCAAGGCTCCGAGGAGGTGTCTCGGAAAAATCTGGTGAAAACAATATATATCATTCAGATGGAATAGTCCAATCAAAATATACACAAGTAGGGTGACAAAATGTATCCATTTACCCCAATTATTTTTCACAATCGTCCTTATTCTGTACAGGATTTGTTTTGTAATAATCAAACAAAGCAATAAGCACCAGTACGTTTGCATTACTCTTGCAACTTTTTTAAAGTTCTTAACCATATATTCATTAATAAGAGATGATACATCAATTTTCTTAATGACTTGACTTAATTAATGTTCAAGAACCTTATTTGTCTGGTGTGCATGTCAAAGTGTTCATGTGTGTCTGTTTAGCCTTAATTTAAAAAGTTAATCTTATACAGGGAAATTCTTTACCACAACTGTTAAATCTTTTCTTACACAATCGTTCTTTTTCACCATTCTAATGTGTTTGATGATGGCTTTCAATAAAGCACGATTCTTATTTTCGGGAAGTGTTCCAGATAACAATGAATCATGAAACTAAATATTTATTTAAAAGCGATATACAAAGATTGGTCGTTCAACTAAATTTAGATTCAGTAAATCAATTACAAATATTCTTGGACAAATGCGTTTTAATGTCAAAAAATGAAAATTTTGTTTTTCGTGAGAACAATTGTGTTTCAAGTTGATATAATTTTATTTATAGTGTGCATGATACTGTATACTATTATAAAGAATAATTAAAGTGATATTATGCCTTATAGGGACATTATGTTCATCCAGAGGTAAATAGTGAGTGTACAGGCGACAGGCAAAATAATGTTACATTTTGCCAAAATTTAATTTAATGTTACAATTTACTTCGCATGAACGATAAATTACTCATGTGGCCATACAATACTATCGAAATTATCCTATAAGGTTCAATATATAAAAAAAGCGTGGGGCTGTCTTTTTATATTTAAGGCATATTTATATTTGATCCTAAAACAGTTTTCAATATCAATTGGTCATCAATCATTATCAATCATTTTAAATATATAGTTAATTCAACACAACTGGACAATGTTAATATGAGCATCATGACACTCCTCAATATGATCGTATTGAAATTTGTGAAATGTTCAAATATTGTTGAGGAAACATATAGCATTTGTATACTATCTTTAATCTATCAATCTTAATCATCAATTAAATTCGGATCAGATTTGATGCTCTATCATTTACAGTTTACAATTGCTTTTTAATTTGCATGTTGATATATAGTAACAATTCAATTCATTTAAGGTGACAACAGACACTTTCCGTGGTACTCACATAAATGTCATTTAAACCAAGTTATTTTAGTAATAATTGTTATTCATTTAATCTTTGTGCATTAAATGTCGTTGATCATCATAAAAAATAACATATTTGAAAAAAATGCCTTTGTAAATGATTGATTTTGAATAAAAATCCTAAAATTTTAAATCGTCATATCAAAGTCATTTTTTATTTTTTTGTCATCAAACTTTTGGAAAATAACCATACTTATATTATCTGGGGAACCGTGTCTCAAATTTTTTATATCTTTTCTCAAAAAAATATTACGTAACGTCAAACAAAATATGCGACTTTTTTCACCATACATATTACGTAATTAAAGATAATTAAGTCGCTGATTGAGCAAACAAAAATCCCTGACACGGTTCCCTCCGTAAATGAATTTCCTTTCATGTGCTTTAAACCGCATGTTAATTGCTTGATTATTAAAAAAGTTATGCCGATTCAAAGTTAGTCCGACCCGCATCAAACGAAGTGTCATAAATCGGCTGTTCTCTCTCGGACCCCTACGTTTCACGCTAAATAATTGCATAATACACAAATATCGCACCAGAGAGGGTCACAAGTTGCGGTAACATACTCTAACAACATTTTATGACCCAGTGACATCTGACCAATTAAAAAGCTGCTGATTAATATCAGTTTATAGCCGAAATTTCTTCAATTCTTAACGTGATTTACTGTTCGTCTAGTATCTGTCCCACATGTCACGTGACTATCGGTAAAATTTGAGGCACTCAGTGGGGGCAAATGGAACGCATTTGCGCACCGCTAGCGGGGTATTTAATTGTTTCCTATTTGAAGTTTATTATTATTATCATCAGCATTATTATTGTATTATACCAGTGTCACTCTGTCTGTGTATTCGTGTATGAAATTCCGTTAAAATATAAAATAAAATAACAAAAAACTGAGCTTCTGACAGTCTTTTAAAGTCCATGGTAGATGTACAAATAAGAACGGGATAGTATATATTTTTTCCACCAAATTGATAATGCTTCACATATTTTAATAGAAATAAAAGGCATTACTCGATCATTATGATGTGGCCTTCTTGACTTCTATTATCATGAATATCATCTATGCACGGCATAGAGATCAAGTTTCTACCGGGATAGACAATAAATTTCATACTTTGTCCCAGATTTATTAGTACTGTGTCGGATTTACTGGCGAACAATTTATTTTCACTGAGAATATATTTTAATATCTTTTTTTATTCATAGAGAAATAATCATCCTTAGACAATCTAAAATGGTTTAGAAATTTGTCAGGGACACCTTACCACAAGTCATATAAGCGTTCACATAAAAAATGTCGTCTGTTGTTGTTTTACTTGACATTGTTAGAAAACGAGGTTGAATGTAAAGTAAGCCCTTGAATCCGTACAAAAGTCTATCAACTCAATGTTATATATATCAGATTAACGGGATAGTCAAATTATTTTCACACATTATGGATATTTTAGCAACTTCATTTTTAATCAACCCCGTGGTCGTGCGATTTGCCGCTATGCTTAATTATTTATGTTTCATACATTATGTTACGTACATTGGCCGACAATTTCTTAATTTATAAAAAAGGCTAAATGTTGAGATATTCATAAAAGATGTACGGTAGATGAACGATACATGTATTACGAGAAGTATGGACCAGTATGGACCTGTAATTCACGGATATATGGAACTACCGATTTCCCTCATTGATGCCTCAACAGGGGGCGGAGCGTTATCGATAATCGACAGGTTACGCGAATAGCAGATACAAATAGTATAGGTACCGTTTTAAATCGTTTAAAAACACATTTTTTGGACTAACTGCTTCCAAAATTAAATCACGAATGTGTTCAGAAAAGGTTGATGAATCTACTTAGCAAAAAATCTCATTTTAGGTATTTTCAGTGATAATTGACTCCGTTGTCACCTTAATTAAAATCGATTTTTATTATATTTTACCTAAACGTACCTTGTTTGTATGATAAATGATGTAATTGAATATTATACTTATGAGCTTCGCCTTAAATACGCTTATCCTAGATAAATTTTTAGGAGAATAAGAAAGAACAAACATTCTAGGAATTAGCTCTAATCTAAATATTTTCAGACACAGAACGACAATATGTAAATAATCGTGAATCTTCCGCTCAATATGTAAATATTTGAAATGACCTCATTCTGAACCAGGTCCCGTCTATTTGATATCTAGAAACTTGGAATTACTTTTAATAAATCCTCACCATTGATTTGTTATATAACAAATAAATATACATTTTTAAAACTGGAAGTTCAGAAAATTGATATAAAATACTTACAATTCTGTTAGTTCGGGATATATTGAGAACGAATTTGAAGGTACCGTCCGGATATTTGTCCCACTAAAGTATCTGAAAGTATAGAGAAGCATAATTTTGGATAATGGTGCATATCTAAACTTCATTATACGGAGTGTTGTCTACATTGCTTTTTAAAACAATTTCAAAGTGTCAATTGAATTTTGTCTGGATAGATATACATAAATAGATGCATTGTATTGAGTATAAATACACGCTTGTGTTTTTGAGATTCTGAAATTGTCTTCTTTTTTGTTATGTGTTTATATCTTTGACCAGTTACAAACGTTTTACCAGCATGAGGATCTGTTTAAAAATGTAAGAATATGTTGTATATAATAAATGAAAATGATATGAACAAAAGATAAAACAAGCACAATAAACGCTTGTAAATACATTGTTAAATAAAATGATGTTTTATACAACTTAAAAGGGCAAAACAAAATTGGAAATTATTCTGTATGCAATAAAAGACCCTTGGTTAGCGTAGGAAAATGAAATTCATAAAGACTAAACGGAAATTTCATTGCAGTTTCTAAGGCATTGATAAAAAATATCTGTTGCTAATACCTGACGAATATATATATGGAACCATTTAACATACCTGTTCATTATTGTATTGCTTAAAATGTCAGTTTAAGAAATATGAAAAGGTTTAGCTAAAAGTTATTTTTCTGAATCTTTTTCATTTTTATTTATATCATTATATGAATCGTTCAAATTAAATTTATAGATTATTTTTATGATGTCGGCTCACAGAGTTGTGAGTCATATTGTATTTATTTTTGCCTGACGAATTGCAATCTTTTAAAACAATCGAACATTATGTATGACTGTACTCGATAAACCGATAACCCGCTAAAAAATCAATTGACAGACAGGAACACATGTTCATATTCGTAAACACTTCGGTACAGAAGACAAAACAGTTACATGTATAAAAATTTCAATTCTTTGAAAACATCATTGAATCATTGACAATAAAAAAACTAGCAATTATTGTTTTTCCTTTTTTAAACATAAATAAATGAATCTAATATCTTTTATTCAACATAAATATGCATTTTGTTGCCTTTTCAATATACTCGTATAAACAGGTGTACGATACAATTCAAAAATATTTTTTACGATAAGAACATTCAAGCGCCAAGTTGTGTCAGATTGACATTTTCAAAAAAAGACATCGAGTAATAAAGCCGTCAGGAAAACTTTCTCAACTAACTTGCTGAACAATTTATTCGAATGCATATGCAATGCCAAATATGGAATTTGAATAGGAGTTTAATTGGAGAAAAAAGCTTTATTGCACAGATTCAAACCACAATCGCTAAATTAAATAAGGTTATTTAGAGTGAATATGTTGCCATATTTGATAGATGATGAAATTTAATTATTTCCAGCTCCATATCTCCAAGCTAAGTCACTTCTATCTTAAGACAATAACTACGGGACATATTTTCTAAAAAGATTTTTCTTTTTCAAAAATGTTTCTCCATCCTTGAAATGGATGTTATGTGCTCAGTAAAAACGGTTAACAGTTTTTAAAAGTTGCAATATGAAGACAAATAAGATAACCTTGAAATATATGCTTTGTTTGTTGTAAGGCAATACTTCCGTTTTATAAATTGATATTAGCAACGACACGTGACCATGGAAAAACAAAATAAGAAAACTTAAGGACACAGATAGATAGGAAAATTTTTAAAAGGAAAATAAATTTTGTTTCTTAAAATTACATTTTTAAGAAAAAATGATACATTGATTACATGACGGATCAAATTAGCGTGGCTAACTACAATGTAATAGTTCTCGAGCCTAAATTCCGAATAAATAATTGATGTAATTCATTCATCGTTTCCTGTTTCACTAAAACTGGTACATTTATTTTTTCGAGGAAAAACTCCAATCGTGAATTTTACCTATTTACAACAGAATCCTACGAAACAATTGTTAGTCGTACAAATAATCTCTTTAAATTCCTTGTTATAAGCAAAACAGAAAAATAATTCCAAAACGATTCATTCTGGTTAATAAATGTAATTATTTATTTTCGTGCGGTGGTAACTCAGCAGTATAAATACGTGTACTTCCCATCCTGGCGTAAACGTCCGCGGCTAAGTTATGTTTGTGTGCAATAAATATTTTCTTTATATTTCCTTTATTTGTCAAGGGATTAATATTTTGACTTTTATTTCCCCTAAGAGCTTAGACGTTTTTCTTATTTACTGCTTAAGGTCATATCTTTTTTTGTTATCGCTTATGTAGCCTATGACAATGTACTTTAGCATCTGTGATTGAAGAATTATCTTCCGTAAGAACCTTTGTAATTCTGTCTTTTTTATACCTCAATGATTTACTTCCAACTTGCGATAGTTGTTTCAGTCGAAACATGTTTGATAAAATTCACAACGCAAGCATTATATTTCAAGAATTATCTCAACTTTGATCTTGAATTTATATAAAATTATTTATATCACAAAGTCTTTTTGTAACTTAACTTTAGATTGTTGCTCCATATGATTAATCACGTTATGTTTGATACAAACTCTAGTCAAATTATATTATGAATAATCTTTAATTTGATCTTGGAATATTGTCTTTTTTAATTGGTTTGACAATACTTTAAATACCTGTTTAGTTAAATTGAGTGTATCGGATTTGTACTCCAGGGGTCGCTGTTTCCACCCTTGGCCGGGCCGAATATTCTCCATGACTATTTATTTCAGATATTTATGCTAAATGTCAAAATCGTTCTAATATTTAAACAATAAAATTAAGTTGCAGTAAGCAAAGAGTTTTGTCGGGCTGCACAGGTGCGCTGAATGGAATCAATTTAGTTTAACAGTTGCTATAGACATACCGTATTTTCTTATAAACACCCTATGGATGAAGTGAAATAAGTGTTGGACTTTGTGTGCCTTTGTAACGGTCTTCTAGCAAGATTACTGAGGGGGTTTCATTCCATGATCTTTAAATCTTTAATCTCCCTAATTGATATGTGTGTTGACAGTATTTACTTAGCGTAAATTTACATATACTCCGGTATTTAGGCAACAATTTTGTTAATGCTGTTGTGTCAATTTTGTACAGACTTATTTATCGAAGCAATTGACCTTTGATTGACGTTACGATTTCAATGGAGTTTCTCATTACTTTCAATGCAAATCCTAAATTTCTTGAAATTCTTTCGCTTTTGTAGACGTGTGTTTGTTATAACACTTGCCAGACGTGCAAAACTTGTCAGAAAAAAGATAATTTTCTTATATAAACTTGTCTGATTACATGTTACAAGTATTGAATTCAATATACCATTGGACAATTTGATTTGTTCCTTTAGACATGTGAGTGTTAATAAAACTGCCATAGATGCAAGACAAATGCTTATTTGCTTTCCAAGTCGATGACTTATTGAGCATTTTTTGTACCGTATTATTCATATCCAAGAAAACTTGTCATGTTTTAGAATTAAGAGTTTTTTTCATAATTAGTTTTGTGATGAAGGAAAATGATCAAGAATTATTGTAATTAAGATTTTACCTTTTTATTAAACTGTAAAGGACTTGTGTAACAGTGTTCGTTCTTTCCTGACAGAAGCTTAAAAAGATTACTTTATTTTTTATTTATTTATTTTTTTTTTGAAAAATTCGCTTGTGATTAACAAATACAAGATACTGAAAAAAAAAGAAAGAAAAAAGATCAAAATCAACTTTTTTTTGTAAAATTTCAAATTAAACAAAACATTTTCTTGTCTCAGAAGCACAGAGAAGTTGGAATCCGATATTTTTTACAGATTGGTTACAGCTCATTGTATATACATGATTCCATACAACGAAATTTTACAACTTTATCCTAAAAGAAATAAAACTTACACTTTTGTTCCATTCTTTGGTAAATTGTCTGGTATATTTGTAATATTTTTACCAAAACAATCAACAAGAACACTATTTGAATCCTCCGACTCACTAAAACACAATGTATCACCTATAGTGTAAGTTATGTTCACGATTTGTAAAAAAGTGTAAATAACGGAGCGATAACTAATAGATAGATCCATGTTTGGACAAGTTTCCTTAACACGCTTTTCAACTATTTTGAAAGAAATATGCCTTTCGCATCTAAGTATAACTTTTTAACAACAAACGATCCAACAAATTCAATTTAACTTTATGATGAAGTCATTTCTATTTTATATTGAGAAACGGTTAAGACGCTGCTATGTTTGTTCTTTAATAGTTCTGTAAGCGACCACTAGATAACCTAGGAAATCCAATACTGTTTAAATTTGCAGAGAAACATAGTAGTCTTTTTGGCTTTTTAATTAAAGGTGTTAAAAAGTGATCGAGAAAGGGAGCTAAAATAGAGAAAGAAGAATTAAATGTTGAATATTGAGTACCGCTCAAGCCGGTGCTAGGGGGCGTGACAGATGTTATCCCTCATGTACGGACTCAATCAAACCGAGTCTGCAATTTCCACATAATTTGTTGGGATAAATGCTTCCGAGGGATCACTTTGTATCCAGATTCTTTAAGATCGTCCAACACAACAAAATTGAAAATATTGCTTATTTTGATTGGGCCTGTTCATGGACGGTACTGGAAAGTGTAAGCCATCGTCCATGCCCATTCGCACCAGTTTAAGTAGAATTCAAATGAAACATCCGCAGATGTGTAAACACGGCAATTATCTAAACTTAAAAATAAATTATTATTTATAAGCAAATAAATGTTTTAACCTTATAATGTAAAATTCTGTGTACATTTCCTCAAGTCAGGTGTTTTTCCATATGAAACCAATAATACATTTGAAATTCTTGTAATATTACACAACCATGTCCATTTTTACAGTGGTTTAACTGAGAATTACGTTTCTTCGATAACGTGTGCCATTTACACTGATATTTATTTGGCTTGCGATAACATACGTAAAACCTTTCTATAAAGTACAAAATGGTTTAAAACCAAAACCCTCATAACCTGTACACTATTTATAATATTATACAAACCAGTGACCAATCACACGATCAATGCATAGTATATACGATACTAACCGTGTCC